CATCCCCAGTAGGGGTTGTGTGGGAGACAGCTCATCAATGTTTCTCCCTCATCAGTGTTTCTGACTTTCTATCCTCTCCCTTCCTCTCTGTAAAAAAAAAAAAATTATATATATATATTTACTTGGGCATATACTCTTATCATATAGGATCAAGCAATCACTTTTTTGTATTTAGCCAAAGGAGTAAAAATGTGTGCCCACACAAAAACTTATACATGGACATTTACAGCAGCTTTATTAATAATTGCTCAACTTGAAAGGAACTAAAATGTTCTTTAGTAAACTGGTACATCCAGACAATTAAATATTACTCAGCAATGAAAAATGAGCTATCAAGCCATGAAAGGACATAAAAGAAACTTTAATGCTATTACTAATTGAGAGAAGCTAATCTGAAAAAGTTACTGTTTATTTCCAATTCTATGACATTCTGGAAAAGGCAAACTATGGAAATGGTGGGAAGGAAGAGATGAATTGATGAAGCACAGATGACTTTTAGGGCAATGAAACTACTCCATATGATACTATAATAAAATATACATGCTATTACACATTTTACAAACCCACTGAAAGTACATTGAGAATGAACCCTAATGGGAAATGTGGACTCTGGGTATTGATGTGTCCCTGTAACTTCATCCATTATAACAAATGTACCTCTCGGGTGGGGGATACTAATGATGGATGTTAATGAGGCTATGCATGCATGGAGGGAGACAGTATATTGACAATAAGTTCTGCCCAAGTTTGTTGCTAATCTAAAGCTGCTCTTTAAAATAATGTCCTTCTAAACAAAGTTTTTTAAATTCTTGCCCAAGATTTAGTGAATCAGAATTTTTGCTATGGGGCCATAGAATCTGCAGTTTACAAAGCATTCTGTGATTGTGATGCTCTGTCTGGTTTGAAATGACAGGCCAACTTTCAATTGAAGCTAAATGTAATCAATTAAAGTTAGGAAAGGTTCAAGAAAAATTGTATGAGAAAACTAAGACATTATGAAGGATAAGGACTTAAAATAGACCCCCCAAATCTCATCAGCATTTACATTCATGTTCAATACATGAATGCCAAGTGATGTTCTTCTCAAATCACCAATATTATCTTAAAAAGATGATGTTGACACTGTTGCTCCCCAGATCACACATTGAGTAGTGAGGCTGTAGACCATTAGCTCATTGAACATGGTTAATTTGGTTTCAGTCACTTGGGTATATACCTAGTACATATGATAATTCCTAGAAAATAGTGGATGCTTACCATGTGTTTTTTGAATGAATAAATCTCCCTGTGGTCCCATCTGATTAAGGACTTTCGTTTGTGCTTTTCCATGGCATTTATAATAGCCTTCTGAAGTAGAACTTTTGTTTATTTTTTTTCCTTCTTTCCTTTCACAAAAGATAAATTGCTTACAGGCAGGGTGTCTATATAATTTTCTACATGTTCCTTAATACTTAGGACAGTGCTTGGAACATAAAAGCCACTTAGAAAATGTATCTGAAATAAATTATTTGGAAATGAAAAGCCTGCTTTTTATCCCCCAAAGCTGCCATGGATCTTCCACTGACATGTATTTCTCTGACCCAAAGCATAATCACATATTCTCAGGAGACTGACGACAGGGGTACATACTGGAGACAAATGAGTAGGTGTCCTGGAGCAGAAATTCACTGCAGTGTCATCCTTAGATCAGACACAGGAGCTCAAAAGATTTGGCAAATGAGGAAATGTCCTTACAGGAGTAGACTCAGTATATTAGCAGTTATTTTCAACTGTTGCTTTTTTGTCGTGAAAATAGCTGTTCTGCTAGGTCTAAACTTTTTTTTTTTTTTTTTTTGCCACCTTCAAGGTCATTGCATCTTCCCAGATTTGGCACTGAATCTAGTCTGGCAAGTCTGGCTTCTTAAAGTGGATTAGGTGGGCCCCAAAGTGAGCCCTGTCCTGGCTGCTTCCCAGTTTATATACCTAAAAGCTTTAGTGGCATATCTGTGAGGACAGCCATCTCTTTTGTCCATCTTTGGACTTGAGTCTAGTTTCCTTACCTAAGCATTGTGCAGATTTCACATGCCAGTCCTGTGACACGACTAGCTGCTTGTCACTGTCACCTTAACTCTATTCTGGTAGGTAAGACATAAATTAAACCTGTGGCCAAAGTCCAGAGTCCATTACTCAAAATTGCTTCAATGTATAACCCTTTCATGTGAAAAGAGCTATATTGACAGGTTGTCTCAACCTTTTTCAGAAAAGCAGAAAGACATAGCTGTCCATGCAGGCCCTTCTCCCTGTCTGTTCCCTCTGAAGTTCTGGAGGCTTCCTTATATCTCACACGGTGGTGGATGCAGTTACTCTTTGTATAAGAACAAAGAAAAGGAGTAGTGATATAAACTTGAGGGTTCATTTCCATATCCAGTGTAAAAAAAAAAAATGGGATCATCAGAAATTTTGCCTAGAAAAAGGTGGACAAGAGTTAAAAAATATTCTTATTTGTTCTATCAGTTTAGATTTTCCTATTTTACTGTTTAATACACTGCTAGGTGAACCATGGAATTAATAAAGATAGCTATGTGTATTATGGATATGTAACTAAATCCATGAATGACTAAGTAATCTAGGTAGCATGTAAATATAGATATCTAAGTGTGGACAGATAGACATTTTAAACTTCTATACAAAGTTCTTTGGAGCTCTGGAATAAATTTTTGTGGGCAAGCAACCTAGTAGCTCTACAAGGAAACCTGTCTTGCCTATCTTATGTAGTAACTGTTTTGGACAACTGCTAGAGTCTTTCATTTGATTCTATTTAAAAGTGAAAAGGGGACTTTTGAAATGACTTTTGAAACATTCTGGAAATGTCTGCTGGAGAGAACCCATCTCCGGGGAAGCCGGAATCGGGCTCCCTGAGGCCAGCGAGGCAGTAGGAGCCGCACGCTTCTGGGCTTTCAGTGAGAGAAGCCTCAAGACACCATACCAACAAAGTCTTGGAAGAACACAGAGCCCTCTTCTCTATTGCACTTCCAGCTGCTCCCTGAAAACATAATTGTCTGAGACCCTCCCAGTTCCCTGCTTCCAACCAGAGTCCAGGCAAATTAGAATTGGTAATGACCCTAGGGAATCACGCCCTCTTTCCTGGAGAAGAGAAGGGGGAGTGGTAGGACTCTCCCTGCAACTGTCAGGGATGGGGTGTCAGGGTGGCATTGGCCTGGAGCCCAGGCTGCGCCCCAGTTCTTCAGGCTGTGCTTCCTGGGCACCCACCGTGCTCCGGAGGGCACTGTCCCCAGCACCCGCCCAGCACCACTTTCCTCTGACGTCCGATCTTGAGATCTGACGATCGCCTCCACCGGCCGCTCTTATAAAGGGGACTTTTGCCAATTCTGGGATGTTAAGCAGCCTCGCCCCGTGCCACGCGCCCTCCGCCAGCGCCCACACCTGTCACCTCCTCCTCGTGCGCCCAGGTTCTTGGAGAAGAGCCGCCCGCGCGGGGATCCTGACCCAAGCGCCTGGCCCTGCCCCCACCCCCGCACCCCCGGCCACACCCTCCCACTCACCCTGTCGCGCGGGCACACACACACACACACACACACACACACACACACACACACTCCACTGCACCCTTGCAGACCCCGCCTCCGCGGTTCCTGGGGCAGCGGTCCGGAGCAGCCAGACAGGCTCAGCGATTCTCCGTGTGGGGATAACTCAGGTAGGCACGGAGCAGGGCGTTTTCAGAGCCCAGGGATAGGGTATTTTGCCTCTTGGTGGTGATGTGCGGGCCGTCCACTCCCTTTCACTCATGGTTCTCAGGTTCCAGCGGCTAGAAAGTCTGGTTAGAGAAGCAACAAGGTCCTCGCGCAAGAGGTGGACAGAGGGGCCCAGGAAGGGTCCGGGAGCACCCAGCTGTGGCCCCAGAAGGAACTTCCCGGGTAGGCTGGCTTTTTTTCCTTCCTCCTGAGTCTTAGGGAAGCTAGCTCTTCTCTCAAGGAAGAAAATGCTGGCTTAGAATGTGTGGCTGGTTTATAGTGTGTTACTTTATTTTCTTCCTTACCCACCTGCGTGCACAAATAGCAGTTTTCCCCAAAAACGTGTTTGTGTGAATTGGGTGCGTGAAATAGCTTTGGTCATAAATGGGGGGAAAGCAAAGAAAAGGTGAAGATGTTAGAAGTTGGCATCTGTCTTCTGAGAGTCTTGATTTTAATGTCTTTGGCACTTTTGCATTTTTAAGGACTTTTACATTTTTAAATGGTTTCTTGTATATACCGTTGAGGGGGAGGGGCGATGGAAGGAACAAAGGACAGTGGATGGGGAAGAATTTTGATCAAGATGTTACACATAACATCGTTAGTAGCTACAGAAACTTGAATCACAGGCACTTGTTGAAAATTGGAGTTGATGTGTTTTAGGAATAGATTTGCCTAAAGCTCTTTTGTGTGTTTTTTTCTTAAGATATTTTCAACTCACATTGCTTTTGGACCATTCCCTGAAACTGATAAAGGAAGGGAAAGAAGAATGAATGAATAAATGAACAAATATGTTATAATTCTCAGAGTAATCTTTTATGATATACTTACCTTATTGAATAATTCTAGATGGGATAGTAACTTAGTTCTCAAAAGCAAACAGATACATGCTCTAAGTGATTTCTTGACTGAATTACTGAGTTAAGGTACAGGAAAAGGTTAATTTTATATGGAAAGAATTTATTAAACACAGAATGATCATGATTACATCTGTTACAAAGGTTACAAAGCATTTTCATTTTTTTCCTTGACTGCACAAAACAATGTTATACTGTTAAATAGAATAATATAATAGGCACCTGTTGGTAACTACTAGTTTAACATGTGATTTTAATGTACTTCTTCTTCAAGTGGCAAAGGATTTCTCCAGAGCCAATTAATTTACTTCTGACTGGCTATGTATGTATGGCTGGTTTTTAATGTGCTACTGTATTTTCTTCAGAGGTCTAATGAAGTAGCCAGCTGTGGAAGATTCCAGACCTCTAGATAAAAATGGCTTTCCATGTGGAAGGACTAGTAGCTATCATCCTGTTCTACCTTCTGATATTGGCCGTTGGAATATGGGCTGCCTGGAAAACCAAAAACAGCGGCAGCGCAGAGGAGCGCAGGGAAGCCATCATAGTTGGTGGCCGAGACATCGGCCTGCTGGTGGGCGGCTTCACCATGACAGGTAGGTGCAGATGTCCAGCTCCATGCTGCCAGCGCCTCCTTGGCCTCTCAGAGTGACAAAGCAAATGCTACTCTTTGTCCTTAGGATCCTTTGTGTTCATTACATGTACATTTTAAAAATAATTTTACATTTATTTACAAAAAAAAAACTGTTCAACTCAGTAGTATTTGAACAAAGTGATCTTATAATTAACCACTACTTAGAATCTGAATAAAGCAAACGTAGACTGTTCAGTGGGTGGGAACAGGGAAAACAAAGAGATGGGTGAAAGTGCAAAAGTGTCTTAGTCTTACAAGTTCTGTATCTGGTAATTAATGTGATAAGGTCAGCATCTCATCTTGTTCACTAACTTGGGTAAGAAGTTCTGACTTTGCATTGTCTGAAATGATGAGTATCAGTAAACAATAACTAGTGATGGCTTTAAACAATAAATTCAAGGGCAACACAAATTCCAAATTGATTTGAAATTAATTATCCCATTTGATAAACTAATTTTCTTGCAGGAGGACAATCAGATGTTAGGAATCCACAGCACTGAAGGAAAAGATTTCCAAAAATCTTGAAACAAAAGGCAAAAATTCATTCAGGGCTTGTCTTAACAGGAATCCCCAGCCCCCACCTGCAGCTCTCTCTCTCATTTGAACCTTCTCTGTGCCAGGAGGGGGCTGTTATTCTATCCTCTTTTGCCCAGAGGTGGTCCTGTTTAAGTGGTGGCTTATTTCTCTTTTATGTTCTTTTTGGTCATTGAGAACATTTCTGAAAAAAAAGTGTTTAATATTATTGAATACATATTTATTAAAAATATTTTTTCTTTTAGAATCTCATTAGTTTTTAAACATCAGCAATATAACCCATACTAACAGCAACTCTGAGTGCTCATGGGAAATCATATCCAAATGATGTCCAGTTTTAGTCCTGAAATCTTATTTTAAAATGATGTATTTGCTCTCTATGTGAAATAGTTTATCATACCCATCTGTGAAGACTATATCTCTGTTTGGCCATCTGAAATCTATAATGTTCTATAATAATTTGTGGGCTATAGTTTTTCTTTCAAATATTCATATTTTCTTTTGTTAACTCTTGGCCAAGTATATGTAGTTTTATTTGGCCTTTATGAATGTCTTTATCTTTATATTTTAGAACTGAAAAGGGTTTAGGGTTAAGTGAATATGCAGATTTACATGGTTAACAAAGACCCAGGTCTTCTGGGAGCCACGCCCAGGGCCTTTTTATGATCTCATCACACTTAACCCTCTCACTGATTCCTCTTTATTTTTTTATAAATATACACAATTGTAAGGAGGTCTTTTATCCTGTGTCTTTTTTTTCTTTTTATGTACACACATATCTGGAATAATTTGTATTGTGCAAAATATTTTCTATGATGTCTGATATGCTAAATTAGATAAATACAAAATCACTAAGAATAAAAATCATTCACTGATATTTTGGCATAGATTTTCTTATTTATGTTCTCTTATTATCTACCTATTTATGAACAGTAAACACAACCTTTTTTCAGTTTCATTGTAGCATTTCCTCTTTCCCTTAAAGATCCCTATTTGATACTGATTTTTGAAGAGAATTGAAAAAAATTTGTGATTATATATCTCTCAGATTTCTCCTATTACAAAAAAAAATAAATCAAATCTGGTTGATTTAACTAAAAAAAAACTGGAAAGCATAAATAAGCTGTTGTATATCAAAGCATTGTTTTTATTATAAATTATTATGTTTTATTACTTTAACATTCTATTTATTTTGCCCATAAAGATAATATTTCAGAATTTGTTTTTTAATCATTTCAGTAATTTTTTCAGTCTAATAGGTTGTTTACTTAATAACCTTTTCCTCCTTCCTTTTTATTGATTTTTATTGAATTTATTGGTTTGACATCACTTAATAGAATAATATAGCTTTCACATGTACAATTATATAATAAATTATCTGTATATTGTATTATGAGTTCACCACCCAAAGTCAAGTCTCCTTCCATCCCCATGAACCCTCTCCTACTTCCCTCCACTCCACCTCCATACTCTGTGTCTATGAGATTTGGGGAAGTGGTGTGTGAATTTTTTTTTTTCCATAATCACATACTCCCTTCACCTTTTCACTCAGCCCCCAAACAACTTCCTTCTGAAAGCTATCAGTTTGTTCTCTGAGAGTTTGTTTCTATTTTTTGTTGTTAGTTTATTTTGTTCATTAGATTCCACATATAAGTGAAATCTTATAGCATTTGTCATTCTCTTACTGGGTTATTACACCTATAGTCTGTTAAATTATATTAAAAATTGAATTATAATGTTTCTTATAAAGAATCCTAGTTTAGCTCAGTTTTAAAAGATTTTCTAATCTCTCAGAACTGAAAGAATCTTGATCAATATCATAATTCTTTTAAAACATGAACCATGTTATCTAACCCTTGTCAATTTAATATTTTTGATGAAGAATAAAAATTGAAAATAAAAATGCAGCTGATGAAACAGCAAACTATTTTTCAGCAAGTCTTTTTAAAATTGTTTAACATACTAAGTCTTTGAAATCCATGTATATTTTACACTCGTAGAACATTCCACCTAGACCAGTGTTTCCAAAATTTTTGACATATGTGTACCTCTTCTATAATTTTCGTACCCCTTATACTCATGAGAATATACAATTAGGCGCAGATAAGCACAGTGCAGTTCATAGCCCCATCAAACTCTGGTGCAACGCGTACCCCCACCAAACTCTTCCCGTACCCCTGGGGGTACACGTACCACACTTTGGGAAACACTGATAACCACATTTAAGATAATAAATAGTCACATGAGGCTAATGGCCAATGTGCTAGACTGAGCAGCCTAGGGTGTGACAGGTGTGAGAGTATCTTTCCCTCATTCTTCATTCTCTTTCAGCCACCTGGGTTGGAGGAGGTTACATCAATGGGACAGCTGAAGCAGTGTATGTACCAGATTATGGTCTAGCTTGGGCTCAGGCACCAATTGGATATTCTCTCAGTCTGATTTTAGGTAAGTGAAAGTTTAAACCTCAGTGATCCACTCAGTAAAGAACATGAATATAAGTAACAAGCAAAATAAGTCAAACAATGTAAATAACATTTCTGGGAAAATGTTACCAGAAATCTTTAGCTACTACAGAAATTGGTAGCAGATGCATAGATTATTAGATTCTTGATTATGGAATACATTTAAAAAAAAATCCCTTGATATTTTAGCTATCAGAATAGTGGTTTCTTTAACATAATGATGTTTTTTTCTTTCAAAAATAGCATGGATATATAATTTAAAATTAATCAACTTGAACTGTACCTGAATTTCTCTGTGTAAATCACACTAATAAAACGTCACTAATGTTATGTAACAGAGTATTCCTTACTTATTTTTGGACCTAAAATAGTTTAATTAAATCTTGGGCTTAATAAAAATATCTGAATATCTGCTGTGCTCAGTGATGCATCAAGGCATTTTGTGGGTGCTGTGTTGGTCCATGTTTTTTAATCCACATGCCTCAGATACACAGTCCATTGTTCTTTGGATACATACAATAATAAAGGTATTAAGAAATTTGCCTGTGGTTGCTGACTATTGCTTGGTTCTATATTCATATTTTCGACTTGTTCCTAAATATATATGTGTTCTTAAAAAATCATTTCTCTTGAGAAATTGTAGCATAATGAAAGGTTGGCCAAGACTATTATGTTAGGAATTAGCAATTTTGTCATAAACACGTTTTCATTCCTTTTAGGTGGTCTGTTTTTTGCAAAACCTATGCGTTCCAGGGGCTATGTGACCATGTTAGACCCATTTCAGCAGATCTATGGCAAACGCATGGGCGGCCTCCTATTTATTCCTGCACTAATGGGAGAAATGTTCTGGGCAGCAGCCATCTTCTCTGCCTTAGGTAAGAATGAATGAAACATTGCTCTAATGGACTCTCTGGTTCGCCGTCAGATACACAACTTTACTTTCTTCAGCCACAGCTCAGGCCTCCCCTGCCTCCTTCTTCTGGATTAATACAACCATCTCCCTGCTTACAGTTCTGTCACCTCCTGTAGTCTCCTCATGATAGCCAGACTCATCCTTCTAAATGACAAATGTAATTATATCTCTTTTCTGCTTAAAGTCAAACTTTGTAACCAGGTCCATAGGCTTTATATGACTTAACCTCTGATTTTCTCCTCTCATCATTCCCCTCCCCTCCTTTCTTTTTCATAACTATAGTCCCCCTTGCCTCTGACACTGTGCAAGCCCAAGTGCCCTCTGCCTTGGACTCCTCTCTCTTCTTTCCTTTCTCATATCTGCCTCGCTAACCAAAAAGTTTCCTCCAGATCTTCTTAGAGATGCCACTTCCTCAGAGAAGCCATCCTAAACTTGCTAGATGCTTTTTTTGTGTGTGTGGCTTCTTTAGATACACCAAAATTTTGTTTTCAATTGACTTACCACTTTGTGTGGTTATGGCCTATTTATTTCATGCTCAATTTTCAATCTCATAAAAAAAATTATAAATTTCTTAAAAGCTGGGTTTATGTTTTGTTAACAGTTGTAATCCTATCACAAATAAATAAATAAACCATATAGATAGATAGATTTAATTTGTCCTTTAGTTACTTTTTTATTTTTTAATTCAATTTATTGAAGTGTCATTGGTTATTAAAATTACATAGGTTTTAGGTATATAATTCTGTGAGCATCATCTGTATTTTGTCTCCTCTCCTTCCATCACCATTTATTCTTCCTTTACCTTCTAAACTCTCTTACTACTCTTCTTCCCTCTGGCAATCAACATACTGTTGTCTGTGTCCATGGGCCTTTCTTCTTCTTTTTTTATTTTTATTTTTTATTTTTTGCTTAATCCCTTCACTCTTCTCATCTACCCCAAACCTCTTCCTCTCTAACAGCTGTCTGTATGTTCTCTATATCCATGAGTCTGTCTCTACATTTTTGTTAGTTTATTTTGTTCAGTAGATTTCACACATAAGTAAAATCATATGGTACTTATCTTTCTCTGACTAGCTTATTTTACTTTGCATAAAACTCTCCAGTTCATTCATGCTGTCACAAAAGGTAAGATTTTTTTATTTACAGTTGAGCGAGTAGTATTTCATTGTGTAAATGTACCACATTTTTATATAATATATTGTGTAAATGTATCACATTTTTATATAATATATTGTGTAAATGTATCACATTTATATCTACTGATGGGCACTTAGACTGTTTCCAAATCTTAGCTATTATAAGTAACACTGCAATGAACATAGGAGTTTATATATTTTTTTAAATTCTTGTTTTGGGTTTCTTTAGATATATTCTAATAAGTTGAATAACTTGGTAATGAGGCATTTCTATTTACATTTTTGAGGTAAATCCATTCTGCTTTCCACAGTTCCTGCATCAATCTGCATTCCCACCAACAGTGCACAATTTCTCTTTATTCACATCCTTGTCAATACTTCTTGTTTATTGATTTATTAATGATAGCCATTCTGAAAAAATGTGAGTTAATATCACATTGTGGTTTTTATTTGCATTTCTCTGGTGATTAATGATGATGGACATTTTTTCATTATGTCTATTTGCCATATGTGTGTCTTCTCTATTCAGGTCCTTTGCCAATTTCTTAATTAGATTGTTTTTCAGTGTTAAGTTTTATAAGTTACTTAAAATTTGCATACTAACTCCTTATTAGAAGTATTGGCATATGGGTTTGTCATATATGGCCTTTATTATGTTGAGGTATGTTCCTTCTATTCTCACTTTGCTAAGAATTTTTATCATAAATGGGTGCTGGATTTTATCAAATGGTTTTTCTGCATCTGTTGATATAATCAAATGATTTTTATCCTTCATTTTGTTTATGTATCATATTTATTAATTTTTGGATATTGTACCAACCTTGCATCCCTGAAATAAGGTCCACTGGTTCATATTGTACAACCTTTTTAATGTATTGCTAGATTGGGTTTACTAATATTTTATTGAAGATTTTAGCATCTATATTTATCAAGGAAATTTTCTTTCTTTGAAGTGTCTTTATCTAGTTTTAGAATTAGGATAATGCAGGTCTCATAAAATGAGCTTGTGAGTTTTTCCTTCTCTTGAAATTTTGGAATTGTTTGAGAAACATAGGTGTTAGTTCTTTGAATGTTTGGTAAATTAATCTCTGAAGCCATCCATCCAAGACTTTTGCTAGTTGCAAGTTTTTTGTTTTGTTTTGTTTTTACTGCTTTAATTTCACTAAATGTAATTTGTCAATTCATATTCATTCTCTGATTCTTCCTGATTCTGTTTTGAAAGATTGTATATTTCTAGGATTTTGTCTATTTCATCCACATTTTTAGCATATAGTTGTTCATAATATTTTCTTACAACCCTTTGTATTTCTTTGGTATGGATTGTTATTTCTACGTTGCCTTTTTTTCTTAATGAGTCTTCCTAAAGGCTTGTCAATCTTTACATTTTAAAAGAACCAGCTCTTGGTTTCACTGGGGTTATTTGTGTGTGTGTGTGTGTGTGTGTGTGTGTGTGTGTGTGTGTGTGTGTGTGTTTTAACTCTTTCATTTATTTCTGTTCTGATGTTTACTTGCTTTTGGCTTTGTTTGTTGTTCTTTTACAAGTTTCTTTATGTGTAAAGTTAGTTTTGGGGTGTTTGGGGTTTTTGGTTTTTTTTGAGATTTTTCTTGTTTCTTGAGGTAGATCTATAATGTTATGAATTTCCCTCTTAGGACTATTTTCCCTGTGTCCCATATATTTGGGGTTGCTGTGTTCATTTTCATATATTTCAAGGTATCTTTTGATTTCTTCCTTGATCTCATTGTTAACCCATTCATTGTTTAATAACATATTATTAAACCTTGATGTGTTTGTGTATTTTTCAGGGTGTTCCCCCACCACCACCCCCCTGCTTGGGATTGATGCTTAGTTTTATGTATGTATTTATTTATTTATTTATTTTATTATTTTTTAAAATATATTTTATTGATTTTGTACAGAGAGGAAGGGAGAGAGATAGAGAGATAGAAACATCCATGAGAGAGAGAGTCATCGACCAGCTGCCTCTTGCACACCCCCTACTGGGGATATGCCTGCAACCAAGGTACATCCCCTTGACTGGAATCGAACCCGGGACCTTTTAGTCCCCAAGCCGACGCTGTATCCATTGAGCCAAACCAGTCTCGGCTGTTTTTTTTTTATTTATTTTTTATTTTTTATTTTAAGTAGTCTTGCTGGATAATGTAGCATTTGTTGTAGGTTCTTGCTTTTTTTTTTTTTTTTATCACTTTGAATATTACACGTCATCCCTTCTGGCCTGACGTATTTATGTTGAGAAATCAGTTGACAGTCATATAGAGCTCCTTTGTAGGAGCTCCCGTACTGCTTTTCTCTTGCTGCTGTTATGATTCTGTATTTGTCTTCAATATTTGCCATTTTAATTATGATGAATCTTGGTGTAGGCCTTTTTGGATTCATCTTGTTTGGTACTCTCTGTACTTCCTGCACTTGCGTTTCTTTTTCTTTACCAAGTTAGAGAAGTTTTTGGTCATTATTTCTTCAAATAAATTCTTTATTCCTTGACTTCACTTTTTCCTTATGGAAACCCTATAATTAGAATGTTGCTATGTTTTATGTTGTCCCAAACTTCCGTTAAATATACTCATTCTTCCTAATTTTTTTTTTCCTATTCTAATTTTGCAGATTTTTTCTATCTTGTTTTCCAAATTCCTGATTTGATTATGTGCTTCATCCAACCTATTTTTTATTTCTTTCAATATATTCTTCTTTTAAAATTTTTTTTATTGATTTTAGAGAGGAGTAAGGGAGAGGGAGAGTGAAAGAAATATAAATGAGAGAGAGATATCAATTTGCTACATCCTTCACACCCTGTCCCCCACTGTGAAGAAGTCTACAACCCAAGCATGTGCCCTGACCAGGAATTGAAACAGCAACATTTTAGCCCATGGGATGACACTCAACCAACTGGGCAACACCAACCAGGGTTCCAGTGTATTCTTGATGTCAGATATGGTATTCTTCATTTTTGACTGATTCTTTTTCATGGTTTCTATGTCCCATTTCATGGTGTGTAGTTCTCACTAAATTTATTGACCATTCTAATAACCATTACTTTTAATTATTTCATTGATACATTTCTTGCCTCCAATTGATTTAGCTCTTTCTCTGAAGTGTTCTCCTGCCCTTTTATTTAGGACCTGTTTATTTGTCTCCCCAATTTGGCTGCCTCTTTATATTAGTTTACATATATTAGATATATCTGCTATGACTCCCAGTATTTTGTGGAGTGGCCTTATATAGTAGGTATCCTATGTAACCCACTGGTGCAGTCTCCTTGATCACCTGAGCTGGGTGCTCTAGAAATATCACTTGTGTTGGTTGTGTGGCCCATCCCTTTTACTTCAGTCTTGGTTGCTATTGCCCTATTTGTGCATGAGATTGAACTTTAGGGTGCTGACTGTGAGGCTCAAACACCAATCATAATATGTGAACTATTGTGCAGATGCTGATTGCATAAAGCAGAATTTCCCACAGCAGGGTTTAATGCCTGCTGAGATTGCCCTTTGGATATTGTGAAGTTTACTGGGTCTTTCTCTGATGTTGTCTGAGGCTGGTAACTGGGTGTATTACTTCTGGGCCTCTTGGGACACACTCGAGCAGGACAATATCAGTCTGTGCCTGGTTCTTAGTAACCTTTTAGAATCTACAAGTGATCCATAATTGTGGCTGCATCTGCTGAGCTTGTATGCATGCAGGAAGAACCAAGATAAGCAACAAGGCCAGCTTTTACCAACATCCAATTCAGGAAAAAAGACAGCAGAAGTCCCAAGACAATCCAATGAGATATGTCTTCTGCTGCTTCTGCATGCCAGCTGCCTATTAAGCTGT